CTTTTTTTATTATTATTAGTTGTTCAAAACATTACAAAGCTCTTGACATATCATATTTCATACATTTGATTCAAGCAGATTATGAACTCCCATTTTTACCCCGTATACATATTGCAGATTCACATCGGTTCCACATCCACTTTTTTACATATTGCCATACTAGTGTCTGTTGTATTCTGCTGCCCTTCCTATCCTCTACTATTCCCCTCCCCTCCCCTCCCCTCTCCTCCCATCTTCTCTCTCTACCCCATCTACTGTAATTCATTTCTCTCTCTTGATGTTTGCATAATTGTCTATAGATAAAGAAATTTCGGTAGGAGTCATAAGATTTGAAGGGAGATTCTTCACTGTATCATAATTTATGATTCTTTAAAAATTTTTTGAATAAAAAGAATCAATGCATATATAGCAAAGAAAAAGGAACATGATGCATAGGGACCCAAAAGAAGGGAGGGAAAACACTAGGCTGGATTCAAACATTTATATATTTAAATGTGCAGCAGGTACTTATTGAATGCCTGTTATATGCCAGGCTCTGTTCTAGGTGCTCAGTATTCAGTAGTAAAGAAAAGAGCCCCAAGTATCTGCCTTTACAAACTTTCATCTTAGAGAGCATAGATAGACAACAAACGAGATATATTCTAAAGCAAACGATCATGGTGAGAAAAAGAGGAAGACAGAGCCCATCTAGGAACTGGCACCCTGGGCAGGCTAGTCAGGGAAGGAGTGCGTGCATGGTGATACACAGAGGAGACCTGGAAGATGTGCGGGGAGAAGGACGTTGGAATAGCCAAGGCAGACTGGATGGTAAGCACCAAAGGTTCTAGGGCAGAAAGACTGTCCTCGAGAACGTAAAGGCTATGGAAAGGATGTGTGTTTCCTTTACTCAAGGTTCAAGGGAGAAAGACTTCACCCACATTGTGTCAATGAATGGGAAGGGTACTTTCCAGAAGAAATTTCCCTTCTCTGATTTGTTATCTAACTTTAAATCTCTATGAAAGAAGAGTGAAGGATCGGAGAGTCGCGGTGTGGTGTGGATGCCCACGATCAGGAAGAGAGGGTGTAGCGTGGATTGACCTGGAGGACAGATGTGCAAGGCCACCCTCTCCAACGGAACCTCAAAAGAAAAGGAAGTCTTGAATCCCAAATGTCTGCCTGCCCAGGGTTGGCCCTGGGAGGGAGGTGAAACCGCCAGAGACTTGGGGTGTTTTGAAGATCATGCTTGGGCTCTCAAGTATGGGAGCCAGAGGAGGATGCATGCAGGACAGGCCATCAGAGGTGCTTTCTGTGTGTCTGCTATGTGTCAGCTCTGTGACAGCCAGGACGTGGCAGCAGACCTCATGAGAGTGACAATGAATTAGATTGGAATGTTTAGAAACCCAAAGAAAAGACTGCAACTGCATCTAATAAAAAAGAAAACATTGTGCTTTCTGTCTCTATCTATCACCCAAACAGTCAAAAGTGGAGAAAACTACTTTTCCTCTCTGACCAACATGGATGCTATTTACATAACACTGTGATTCCAATGATCTTGTATTATGCATAAGGAAACACTTTTTTAAAAAAATTGATTCATATATGTAATACACAAAATGGACCCCCAAAAATGAGGCAGTGAGAGAATGCCTAAGATTCAAAAGTCTGCCATTGCATTTATTTTGCATACCATGAAATTACGGGAGAAAACGTGACCTTTGCAAGGTTATATAGCTAGTTAGTTGTGAGGCTGAGTATACAACATAGGGCTCCCTTTTCTCAATTCATTGTGGGATCTTACAAAGCTGATCACAGAAGCAGACAGAAGACTAATCATGTGACATGGGGATGTGGACATATTTATGCTCACAGCCCCTTGTACCATCTCCAGAATAAATGGTTGCACATCGAGAAAACACAGAGCCATGAACCACAGCTCGAGTGCACTCACTCCACGGTGTTATGATGATAATTTATAATGCGATTGCAATTACAGTAGAATTATAGCCTGCCCGGCACCTAATAGAGCTGTGTGCATACTCTTGAGAAAGACGGATGTGCTGGCATCTTGGGCTGCAGAAATGAGATTAAATGGCTCCCATCCCTGATCCTGCCATTGATTTTTGTAGCACTCCCATTAACATGATCCCTCACATTCCATCCTTCTATCATTCCTCAGAGGTGAAGACATAGTTTTAGAGTGTAAATAATTAGACCCTCAAAATCCAAGGTGACAAATCTTCCACGCCTCCAATTGCCATGAATCAGGACACATAAATCAAAGCCTCTTTGGAGGGTGTGTTCGTGAGCAGGAAGACATGTTTACAGAATGAACCTGCAGTGCCTTTTCCTTTCTTCCTCTTTCCTCCTTTTGGCTTGTGCACAAACTTGACTTTGGATGTGAATCATTCAGGATAGAGTGATTATATAAATCGAGACATTTTTGTAAAGGAGGAAGGTT